CACAGTAAGGTTCCCTGACACACAGCAAGCACTTAATCAATGCGAACTCTGAAGCAAATATAGTGCATCTTAATACCCCTCAGATTTGGACAATGGAGCTGTGCTGTGCAATATGGCAGCCACTAGCCACATGTGAGTATTCACTACAGCACTTAAAGATTCCGTCCCTTTGTGTATGTCATGTGTGTGTAAAGCATGAGTGTTCCTGTGTGTGGATGAGGACATGCATGTGCCATGGCATACTTGTGGCAGCTAGAGCACAACATCAGGTGTGAGTCCTTACCTATTTCCTTGTTTGAGACAGGTCTCCTCTCCATTTTGGAAGGCAGGATGGCAGGCCTGAGAGCTTCTGGAGATTCTCCTGGCTCTGCCTCCCATTTCCTGTAGAAACACTGGGATCATAGATGCTTATACTAATGCGTCTGGCTTTTTATGTGGATTCTGGGGATCTGAACTCAGGTCACCAGGTGTGAATGGCAAGCACTTTCTTCACTGAGCCATGTCTCCAGACCTAATAATTCAGTTCCTTGTCACCAATAGTCACCTTCTTAATGAGTAAATATTGGACAGTGTCAGTGTTTGGCTCTGCCATCATCACAGAATGTTCTTCTGGAAAATAGAAGTGATAGAGTTTCATATAAACCAGAACTCCATAAGCCTGAAATTTGCCCTCTGAAATGCTAACAGAGCAATGAGACTGCAGTGTGCCATGATTTCTTCATGGGCTATGAGGAACCTTTGCAGTAACACTATGGGGACCATGTGCACCAAGTCATTTTTCCCTTTGCTCTATTGTCCTCAGAACCTATTTATCAACTGTGCAAACAGTCGCCAGCAGGGATACTTGGAGGATGACTTGATAGGTACAGTCCTTGAGGAGTTTAGTACTCATACCTGTGGTCTGATATTGTTCCAGCACACCTGTAACTCATTACGAACAGGCAGGCTATGTTTAAAACACAATGAGCAGGAAGCTCTTGTGATGGAAAGACATGAATTAATGCAACGAGATGAGTTTCCACTGGCAAGTGGTCTTTTATAGACGAGTAAATTCCCATAGGGTCTAAAATAGAAAGGGCATATTCTACTTTGCATTTGTTTCACTTTAATACCTACATGTCTTTCCCAAGTTTGAAGAGAATAATCTGCTGTTATTTGGGGGTCATATTTTCATTTTCATTTGCTTTCCTTTCTTGTTTTTTTTTTTTTTTTTTTTAATTAGGCTTATTGAATTATTTCTTGCTTCATTTCAGGTTCAAGTTTTCCTTAGGTGATGGGCCAATGGTTAAAATTTAGGGCCATGAGGTTTCTGTGACCATTATTTGATTCTGCTATTGCAGCACAAACATAGCCACATGATGCACACAAATTTAATTTACCAAAAAAGCCCTTAGGCTTTAATTTGCCACTCCTGATCCCAAAGTTTGTGAGAACACACCGTATTCCACTCTTCTGTATGTTTAATTTTTGCTACTACTATGTTTTCTCCCGTATTTTATTTTTGAATGTATATCACATCCTGTCAAGAATCCCATTAATTTTTAAATGTTTAATTTAGAAATGTCAAAAAATATTTTTTATCAAAGCTTCCAATTATAAAAACAAAAGTAAGTCTTCCCAATGAGTTTCTTTTCTCTGGAGAGCAAGTAGAGAGGGGACATGGATGCAAATTGTGCAGTTCACAGATCTAGTTAGGTCATTTGAAAAGTACCCTGGCTATTTTACTAATTTGTGGATGGAGATACATTTTAAAGGGAAAACCATCATAAGCTAGGTGCCTAAGTGCCATTATTCCTTACAAGGGCATTACTGTTCAAGGCCCATGGAGACCAGATGTTTATAAAAGTTCAGTGAGTATCTATCATACAGATATGAATGCAAAATGGGGCCCAAAGAACTAGTGAGAAGTTCTACAATGGAATCAGCAATCTCTAGAATGGGAAGCAGCCTTAGAAATTGCCCTGCCTACACCATCATTATATAGTTGATGGATGTGGTTTTCATCTTTTTTCTTCCCCAGAACAGACCTGTGTGTGTATGTATATGTATGCATGTGGATACGTGTGTATGAACATGTGTGTCTAGGTGTGTATATGTATATGTGTGTGTATGTATGTATAACTATGGGTGTATGTGGATATATATATGTATCTATGCATGTTTCTGTGCATGTATGTGTATGAAACTGTGTATGTGTGCACATATGTGTACGAGTATGTGTTGTGGGGGCCCTAGTTTCTCACATATGTAACCCTGCCTTCCCCATTACTCCTGCCCTGGATAGTTGAGGTGAGGATGGCTTTTTCACAGCCCTGAGTGAGTCTTCAGTCTAGGCTGAACCCAGCGAGGGACTGGAAGCTCCTAGCCAGAACTGGCTCAGGGATAGGTTTCTGACCCAAAGATGGCCATCAGAGTCATCAAGATGGAATTCTGGGATGTTTCATAGAATTAAAGGAACAGGAGCCTTCTTTCTCTCCTCTCTCCTCCAACCTTCACACTTTCTGTTTCTTCTTTTCTGTGGATACTAAGATTACAGATGTGTACTTGAGATTCAGCAGCCACTTTGTCACCTTGTGGAAATGGCCTGCTTGGAGAATGAAACCAACAGAGACAAGTTGGGCTGAGGGGAACATGACTACACTTTTCATGGCTTGGAGAATCTGCATCCAGCCTTATCTATAATCAGACATTTCCATCTTTCATAGCAAATATGTTCTCTTCTTTTTTGTTTCTTGATACTTATGTTAGAATTCTTCACATCCAAGAGTCCAGACAAATACAATAGGTTCATCGAATTAAAGAAATGAATGTTAGTAAGTAGGAGGGTAAGGACTAAATCTCTGACTAAATCTGACACTCATTCTGGGAGATGGTGGAAGTCAGTGGTAGACCAGCAAGTCAGCTAAAGCTCTGTATGCAAAGCAGTTCAGGGAAAGTGTGCTCTACTCCGGTAGCTCCTCAGAGTACTAGACTATGTTGTCACCTTTTCACATTCTTTTGCTTAGGCAGGGTCAAACCTAAAAAGTACTGATCACAGGGGATGGGGAGATGGCACTGTGGATAAGAACACTTGCTGCACAAGCATGAGGACCTGAGTCCAAATCCCCAACACCCATGTAAAATTATGGGCAATCTATAACCCCACTGTTGCTGAGGACTGAGAAAAGGAGGATCACTTGGGACTGCTAGCTGCCAGCTCAGTTCCTGGCCCAGTGAGAGACTCTGCCTCACAGGAATATAGCAGGACCCTTGATGTCCTCACCTGTTCTCACTATACACATGTGCATACAACACACACACACACACACACACACACACACACATCAGATTTAAAGGTAACTACTTTTATAAAGATTTATTTTTATTTTATATATGTGTGCTTGCTTGTGTGTATGTGCACCACATATGTATAAGTGCCTGTGCAGGACAGGAGAGGGTGATAGATCCCCTGGATCTGGAGTTACAAGTGGTTGTGAGCTGCCTAACTAGGGTGCTGGGAACTGAACCCAGGTCCTCTGCAAGAGCACTAAATGCTCTTAACTGTTGAGCCATCTCTCCAGTCTTCAGAAGCAACTGTAACTATTTTTGATATTTTAAAATAATGCAGTTGTAAAAAAAAGTTTCAAGGGATGCTGGGAGGTCCACAACATTGAATGTGCTGGAGAAGGGTACACTAGGCAGATGTAAAAGCCATCAACACAGCTTATCAGATCCTCCTCTGTTCCATAAGTACAATGGGGTCCAAATGCACATGAGTAACTCATTTCATATACACTTACAGAATGGAGGCATGTATGGCATCAGACATAGATGCCCAGCATCGTGGATACATGTGCAGCATCAGAGATCTGCAGTAATCACTATTTTGAGGGAAAAACATGATTGTTTTGTTCCTCTCTCCTCCTCCTCCAAATTGGCTGATTAGGAACATCAATATTTACCACAGATTCAAGCATAAGTCTTTTACTAAGAGTAGCAATTCAAACTGCTGATTGTTAATTGTCAAAATTCATGTTTACTTTTTTTTTACTGTGCTAATTATTATGCTTTCAAAAAACAATACCTAATTAAAGAGATCTTGTTGATAGTTTTCACTCACTGCACAGTCTTTGAGAAAAGACTTAGGAGTGATTTATTCTGGTTTATTTTTCCATGGCAAACACAAACATCAAGATTTTTCACTTTGTCTACATGTGAAATGTGTGAGTATAATGTAAAACGGACAACATAGTGAGGTTAGTTACACATCCGTGTATTAAAGGGAAGCTGTTAAGGGTAGAAGCTGGGTTTGTAGAATGGAAGGTGTGTATACCACGGTGTCTCCTCTGGCAGTACACATGCTGAATCACATGCCATCCTATCAGACTCCAGAGACATGCTTCGGGGCTCATGCTTGATGCATAATTTTAATCTTTTTAAAAGTTAAAAAATTTTTTTTCTTGAGAATTTTATACGTGAGCATTGTATTTGTATTATATCTACCCTCCCAGTCCCCTTCAACTCCTCCCATGTCCCCTATTCTCACAATTTGTGCTCTTGATTGTTACATATTCATACATACCTTTGTAAATACACATACACACATATGTATTTACATATATGCACTGTGTACTTGTCCACTTGGGATTAGGTAACCTATCAGGGAGCTAGTTCCTGGTGAAAACTGATTCTCCCTCTTTCAGCATCCTCTGAGGGACTGCCTGTCGGCTCTTCATCTTGGGGTGGGACCTTATGAAATTTTCTTCATTCAAACTGGCACGACAACTGGTTTTGTCATTATGCAGCTACTGTGGAGATTTCAGGTGTGCAGCTCCCTGTCACGACAAGAATCATCTGGTGCAGGATCAGGTATATGACAAAGTAGAGTGGAGCTGGAATCATCCAGACACGGTTTCCTATCTTAAGAACTTGGCCTCCCACAGAAAGACTGGTGTCTTTATCAGAAAATATTGACAACAGAAACAGCAGAATTGACAGAAATGAGAAATACACATCATCTGAACATTTAAAAACAATTTTATACCAATAAAAATTTACCAAAATTAAACAAGAATCAAATTCAAAAATTTTCCATTACAAAAATGGACATTATGTGAAAGGCCACATTCTCTTTAACTCCATTTTCGCATCTTTCTGCCACAGCAAGTAGACCCTGGGTAGAGGGGGACAAGAAAGAGAACACTGAGTCAACAGTCTGCTCTTCTGTGCTACCTCCTGACGAAATGGCTTATACAGGTTTTCATAAAAACTATCATTCACCAATTATGACGTGAACATGGAAGCTTCTATTTAAACTCATAAATAAGGCTTCTGGGTTGAATTTTAGTATGAGGTAAACAGTATTTTCAACATATAGGCACAGGGTAGATTGCATGTAATGTGTACACATTAATGTGGAGCTTCCATTGTAAAATACATTTGTGAACATTTATGGTTTTTTTTCTAAATATGTTGGAATCAGAAACTTGGAAAAATTGCTGTAGTCATAAAAACTATTTGCTCAAATGCCTTAGCTGTATCCTTTGGGAAGTTAATATGCTAAATATAATCCTGTCTGAGGTTGTGTATGCATCCTATAATTTTTCTGTTATGAAAGATTAGATGTCTACAAACTTCGTGTAAATGATCCCAGATGTGGCTTCAAATACTATACATAGGCACATTATCTGGCCATTGTGATTGTACACCAGAGTTGGCAAACCCTGTCTATTGGACAGGCATAAGAAAGTCATGAAGCTTACAAAGTCTACATGTGTAAAATCAGATTTAGCACTCTAGACAGCTTATTTGAGAAAATTCAGACGTTAAGATTTTTTCAGATAGTGATTTGTGTGTGTGTCCTTCCCAGTGAGATAACCATTGTTTCACAGTGATGTGAGTAGCATCCCTCTGCATGGGAGCCAGCAGGAAGGTGTCACTTCTTGGCCACACTGGCCACAGCTTTCTTGGCTGCATCCTCCAGGTCCACGGCTGAAGTGATGGGGAGTCCACTGCTTTTGAGGATGTTCTGAGCTTCCTGGACATTGGTTCCTAGGAGGGCGAAGAATGGCAATCACTGAATGAAACTGCAGGTGGCACCTAGTCAAGCCATAAAATGAAAACCACCAAGGCAGGCCTCCCTGGACACAACACAACTCAATCACAACATACTTGCAGCTTTTTATTACCCAGCCCTGGCTTTCCAGGTGTACCCAGATGACAAATTTATGTTTTTCTCTTAGGTTCATGTCAATGAACTAGCATTAGAAAGATAATGCCTGGTGGGTGTGGTGGTGCATGGCTTAAATCCTAGCACTCAGGAAGCAGAGGCAGGTGGATCCCTGTGAGATCCAGGCCAGCTTGGTCTACATAGTCAGTTCCAGGCCAGCTGGGGCCACAGGGAGACTATGTCCCAATAAAGCTGCTGGAGTGCCATACTGGGTCATAGGCTAGACTGACTTCCGCTTTTGCCCAGAAGATGAGTCAAACAGACGTTCTAATTGAGGTCACTGAGGGGAAAGACCACATGACGTAAACCTCAAGCTCTGGTCCAGGTAGAAATAAAGATACAAACATGACTTGTGGCCTGATCTGTAGTTATGAGAGTCTGTCCACTGATGTCCAGGAATCTGTAGCTTTAGAGACTGAGTAGTTTTCAACATGCTATTTCTGTTCCACACAGAGGCAGAGACTCTGGAAATGAACTATGCTCCCAATAAACGTTCTTGCCTGTTCCTGGTAGATTTGTAGTGTCTGTCGGACCAATCACACCTTAAAGGTATGCTTCAGGACTGCCCGTTTAACATGGGCATGAATTTCAGAGTGAACAACTCTTAAGGAGAAATGTGATTTAAGCATTTCATGAAACAGCGTAAGTCATTTTCTGTGCTTTGATCCAGCTGGTGAGGTAGGCTTCATAAACTAAGACTGTGGAGAAGGTGCCTCTCTACGTGAAGCACAAATGGAAACAGACACTGGGCTCTGTGTCTTCTGCCAAGGGCCCTTCGGTGGAAGGTGCTGCAGTCCTCACTCCCACCACCCATTCATTATATAGAGTTCATAAGTCATTTAATGTCCTTGGGCTCCAACTTCTTTTAATTTTTTTTTTTTTTTTTTTTTTTTTTTTTTTTTCCATCCTTTGGCATTTTCTTAATTATCTTGGAATAAAGCCAGATTTTTCCTTTCCAATCTATATGTGTTTCTTTTTTGTCCTACTGAACTATGTAACTCCAGTCCCAGGGGATCTGACACCCTCTTTTGGCCTCTGTGGACACTGCCTGCACGTAGTGCACTTACACACATGAAGAATACACATAAAATAAAAATAAATAAAATATAAATGTATTCAATAAGCAAAGAGCAGTCACCACAAGTTTATTCATGCCAGGCGCAGTGGTGCACGCCTTTAATCCCAGCCTGTGGAAAAGAGGCAGGCGGATCTCTGCTGGTGTTAAGGCCAGTCTGATCTCCATAAAGAGTTTCACACCAGCCAGGAATATATAGTCAGACCCTGTCTCAAAGAAATAAGAAAAAATTATTTGATTGTTTCATAATATTTATAAAAATTTTAGTTGTTTTCACTCCCTATGACCCTCTCTCATCATCCCTTATCTCCACTGAAACTCTTCTTCCCAACTGGTCTCCTTCCTACTTTCGTGGTATTTTATGTGTGACCACTGAGTTTAATTAAGGTTTCTTACATGAACATAGGTGGGGGGTTATTTCCTGAAACATGGCAATTTACTCACGGCTGGACCGCTGAACAAAGTGAGACCCTTTCTCCCAGCCACCAGTGACTGTCAGCAGTCCCTCAGGGATGGGTGGAGCTTCAAGTTTTTTATCTCCATATATCATCATCTTCCTTAGAACTAATATTCACTAAGTACTTGTGCATGCCAGGCATAATTCCAAGTAACTTATGGGCAGCATATAAAATTTGTATAAGAACTATGAATAGGTCCTACTGTCCCTATATACAGATAAAGCAACTGAGGTGATGAGTGGCAGAAGGGAACATAACTGTTCTCTGTAAGCACACAACTCTCCATACATGCACTTCCCTATTTGTAACCTGAAGACAGTACAGCTGAGGGGCTGGGATGCCAAGAATCAGTGTCTGGCAGACCTGGCCATCTTTCCCCAAAGATTCCTATTCCACTTCTGCAGTGTAGTGCCGGCACTGGGAAGTAGCTGCCCAGTTGGAAGTGATGTTTCCCAGGTCCTCTTGCATCACACAACATGGTTTTGGCCAGCAGAATGATGCAAATGGATATAAAACACATGGCCATAACCATCTCCAGTGTGACTTCCACACTTTGTTTTCCTCTCAGCTATGTTACCAGTCAGAGTGACCCTTGAAGGTGCCTTTTTGGGGATGGCAATGACTTTTTCAGCCTGGATACTTGAATTACAATGTGGAATGCATCACACCACTCAGTCACCTTCCCAGACCTTGTGTGAACAAGAAAGAACTTTCTATAATGTTGGCTGTGTTGCTCAGGGGCTAGTATTACTTTGAATAACACATTGCTTTTCCATATTTGTGTGCACAGGCATGTGTAGATTCATGTGTGTATGTGTGAGGGTATGTCTGCTAGGTGCGTGTGTGTGTGTGTGTGTGTGTGTGTGTGTGTGTGTGTGTGTGT